GGAGGACATGAGTTCAAATCCAGTCTCAGATACATGACACTTACTAGCTGTGTGACCTTGAGCAAGTCATTTAACCCCAATTACCTCACCAAAAAAAGAGAAAAATAATAATAAAGTAAGTTGCTGTAGCCTCTTTGCTAAGACTTTATCAAATATTTTGGCATCAATATTCATTAGGGTTTTGATTTATAGTTTCCTTTCTCTGCTTTATTTCTCCCTGGCTTACACATCAAGAAAATATTTGCATCATAAAATGAACTCAGTAGGATCTCTTCTTTTTCAATTTTTGCAAATAGTTTATAAAATATTGGGATTGTTATAATACTTAATAGAATTCATTTGTAAATCCATCCAAGCCTGGTTTCTTTTTTCCTTTGGGAATTAACAAATTTAATTAATTTGTTTGGATTGTTCAACTTTGAGTTATATAAATTGTAGAATTCTTATGCTATTAATGTAGGTATTTTAAATTTTTGTTAATATCCATGCCATTTCAGCTATTATTTTTTGGCATATAGTTGGTCAAATAGTTTCTAACAATTGCCGTTATTTCTCTTCCATTTGTTATGAGTACTTTTCCACTTTTATATTGGTAATTTTAATTTCCACTGTCTTTCTTGAATCAGATCTTTATATGTTGTGCTAGCTTTTAAACAGTTCCAAATTTTACTTACTAATTCAATGATAATTTTGTTTTTAATTTTATTAATCTCATCTTAGATTTTCAGAATTTCCATTTTCATGCTTAGGTTTTTTTAATTTGTCACTTTTATTTTTGTCACTTTTTTTTTTAACAATTACACATACAATTCATTGATCTGTTTTTTTTTCTCTCCTTTATTGTTGAAAGTATTTAGAGATATAAATTTATATTTCAGGGTGGTTTGCTTGTATTCCAAAAGGTTCAATATCTTCTCATTACTGTTATTTCCTTATATGAAATTCTCCATTGTTTCTATGATTTTTTCTTTGATCCACCATCAAGTACATGGCCAACTTTTATAAAGATGTGCACAGATGAAAAATATATATACTACTTTGTGTTCCTATTCAATAATAACCAGAGATCTACCACATCCAATTTCTCTAAAATTCTATTCAAGTTCTCAATTTGTCTTTTTTATCTTTTTATTTGTCTAGTTCTGAAAGCATACCTTGATGTCTCCAACTATTATGATTTCTGTATATTTCTCCATGTAATTCAATTAATTTTTCCATCAAATACTTAGATGTTATATAATGGAGGATATATGGTAAGTATTGATATTATTTCATTGTCTAGGATGCCTTTAAGCGTAAGGTAAGTTCATGACTTTTAACTATGCCTATTTTTATTATTGCCTTGTCTCAGATCATGATTGCTTTGCCTGTTTTTTCTAGTTCACCTAAATCATAATAAATTTTGCTCCAGCCCTTCATTTTTAACTCAGTGAATATTTATACTTCAAGTACCTTTATTGTAAACAACATATTTTTTGGATTGTTTTCTTTTTTAGGCAATTGGGGTTAAGTGACTTGACCAGGGTCACACAGCTAGTAAGTATCAAGTGTTCTTGTCTGAGGCCGGATTTGAACTCAGATCCCCCTGACTCCAGGGTCAGTGCTGTATCCACTGCACCACCTAGCTGCCCCAGGACTGTTTTCTAATCCATTTTACCATCCTTTTCTGTTTTGTGAGTCAAAACCATTCACCAAGAACTCCTCCTCTCATCTCACCTTATTAAGACATCTTCCCCCACTACCTTCTCCTTCACTCTGGTCTCAAATGGAGAGGTGGCCCTTCTCCATGCCTAGGCTAACCCTTCTACATGCACCAGTGACCCCACTCCTTCTATTTTCTCCAGAAAATGAAGTTTGTTCTTCCTGCGTCCACTCACTCTGTAGAGTCCTACGATTCAACTCTCCCTCTTAAACTCCTCTCTACTGTTTCTCTTCCCCTTTCTGTTTCCTTGCTTAATATATTACTAAGCCAAACATTTTGTATTAAGCCCTTCTTTATACACCACACAAGAATGAGGTTCATTGTAGTACCCGTTCTCCCCACCCCTTCCTTCATTAATGTACTTTAAAAAAAAATCTTTTCATATATTTTCTCTCTCACATCCTCTACTCAGCCACCAAAGTATCTTCCTAAAGCACAAGTCCAATCATAACACCTCCCTACTCAATATATGTCAGTGGCTTAAAATCCTAGGGTTGGCTTTTAAAGCCCTTCACAACCTAGCTCCTTCCTACCTCTTAAGTTTTTTTTAAACTTCACTATCTTCCATATACTCTGTGATCCACTGACACCAGCCTTCTTTCTGTTCCTCTTAAACAAAACTCCATTTCCTGATTCTGTGCCTTTTCACTGGCTGTCTACCATGCCTGGAATACTCTTCCTCAATATCTTTGCCTCCTGATTTTCCTGGCTACTTAAAAATCTCAACTCAAATTCTGCCTTCTTCAAGATCTTTCTTTATCATTCTCACTGTCTGTGTATTTTGTATGTATATAGTTGGTTTGTATGCTGTCTTTCCCCATTAGAATGTGATCTCCTTGAAAGCAGGAACTGTTTTTCCTTTACTTGTATTGCCAACACTTAGCACAGTACCTGGCACTAAGTGCTTAATAAATGTTTGTAGACTAATATTCCATTACATTTATGTACCACAATTTATTTGTTTAGCCATTTTCCAACTGATGAACATGTACTTTTTTTCTTTGCTCTTGCAAAAGGTGCTATTATAAATATTTTGGGGAGTATGGGCCATTTCTTTTTGTCTTTTGATCTTTCGTTTTCGATCCCCATGGGCCATATATCTAGCAGTAGGGTGGATTTTTTAAAACTCTCTCCCCAAAGGCACCCAACGAGGTCAAAGAAGTCTACTGAATTTTTCTCACTAGGCTTGCTTGGTTGAGTGGGTAGAGCATC